GACGGACCGGCAGGACACACAGGACCGGACAGTCACGCAAGCCCCCCAGTCTCTGTGTGCGGTTGAATAAAGCCATTGCCTATCAGGACCGCCCGTTGCCTTCTTCTACCTATTAGTTGGGTTCGAAATACCGGGCTATACTACTGGCGACGCCGAACTAACTGGGCTATAACAGGTCCCAACCTTTTATGAAGTCGTCACATTTTGCAAACCCCGTTGTCTTTGCGTCGTTCAAATTTCTTCAGGGAAAATAATGCTTCAATGCGCCAAATTTTAATTCAAAGCGTGGAAGGGCTGATTGTTTGTCATTATGTAGCATCTATCACGGAACAGACAATAGAAAAGGACGAGCACCTTCCGCCATAAAACAGGATCAGGAGGTGGGGCTATTTCCGCAGACCTTGAACAACATGGGACAATTACGCATGCGAATGTAACCATCGTTCCTCCTCTGTTCAGAAAGTGTTAGTATACATAGATTAAACCTTCTTCAGCAGCGCATTCGAAAACAGATGGCTGACAGCGGATGTTCGAACCTGTCGACAGAAATTTTGTAGTAGTTTTCTGGTGCATGGCGTGTGAGCTACCAAACTTTGTCTTCTGAACGCATTATCCATGATAAAACCACGCACTCATTGGGAACGTCGGTTAGCTAACTTTAAAAACAAACGGGTTAGATTGGGTAATACGGTGAAGCGATTGGTAAGGTGTCCGACCTGGAGCCAACCTAGAGGGAGAGATTTGCTTTCAGTATAAGACCTAGAAAGGAAGATGAGCTTTTCAGTCCGCCGCTAATACGGCGCTACCGACTACTCACACGTCGCGAAAGACATGTAGGAGTCTGCTGCCTAGCCCAACTGCACATGACTCACCCTGACCTCGGCTGCCGTAGCTTGCATCCTGCGTGACTAATTAACTGGCGTCAGCTATTCAAGTGGTATCGATTGACTCGCTGCTCCAAACGCGCATACTCCTCCGCCTCATCTGATTGGTGGCAGCTGAATGAGCACTTATCCCGCAGCCAAAGCTTCCCTCACCCACATAACTGCTCTGGCACACCAGGCGTTCAGACCTACCAGGCCGCTGGCTGTTGACGCAGCTTCTGTTAAGTCCTTTTTCTGCAGTAAAGCCATTCCTCCCAATTCTGTCTTGCATGACTCTTGGTTTGGGGAATCTTTCTGTTAATGCAAGCAAACATGCGAGTAATTGAGAAGTAGAAGACGACTCGATCGCTGGGAAGATATGTTTATTAGCCTGACGTTTCGAAATCCGTCGCGGATTTATTATCAGAGACGTACTCACAGAACAGTAGTAGAAGCAGTTTGTGGTGCACAGGGTTCTGCGGTAGAATTTAAACGTACAGAAAAATCGATAAATGCCTTTGATTGTGCGCTGATTCGTTGTGTCAGCAATGACCAACTGGTCTTGTATTATTGGGGGCCCCCAATCCATCAATAAGTGCAACGATTTGCCCAATCCATATTCGGGGCTGAGACTCAATTTGGCCAAAGCAAATTGCCACTTGGGGAACACTCAGGCCACCACATCATCTTATGCCAGCACCACAAGGCAAGATGGTCATTGCTGACACAACGAATCAGCGCACAATCAAAGGCATTTATCGTTTTTTTCCGTACCTTTAAATTTTACGGCAGAACCCTGTGCACACACAAACTGTTTCTGCTACTGTTCTGTGAACATGTCTCTGAAGATGAATCCACGACGGATTTCGAAACGTCAGGCGAATAAACATATTGTCCCAGCGATCGAGTCGTCTTCTACTTCTCAATCCTTCTGCTATCAACATCACTACCTGTGACAATTGGTGACCCCGAAGCGATATGAACACGCAACCTTCTGACACCACCACCACTTCCTGCGATAGACCCTTTTTGGCGAAAGGCTGATCAGCCAAATACAGGAGCAATAGGCCGTCATGTAGTAATGTAAACTTAAGCTGAGTACTCTTCCCGATAGACTAAATTTTAATGTTCCAACTGTCTATAGATTCGCTTGTTGAAGATGCAAGCTCCGATTTATAGGCGTCAGAAACCATACACTCTGCTATTGCCTGCAGTTATCTACATTCTAATTGCAGATGATCGGAGAAAGCCCACCGGCCGATGAAATGCAACATAGAAAATTATTGTCCGTGAAGAACTAGCCACATAAGAGCGAACGACAGTGAATGCGGTATGCCTCAAGACCAGGTATTATTTCCGGCTGAACAAGTTTGAAATTCTCCACATCCCTCCTCCAGCAAAACTCCTGTCCGATCTACATATGATTGTTCCTCATAGGAGGACTGTCGCCTGCCTCGAATGCTGGCCACCCTCCCGTGTTTACCCTTTTACTCGATTGCACATGACTGAATACACCTCCCGATTCGGCCCCTTGCTTGTTATCACCTTTACCACGACGATTTAGTCCCATGACGTGACTTTGTTGTGAAGAGTCAGCTGGCCGTCCCCCCCCTCCCTCCCCCCTTCTTGAACTGGTTTATCCGACAAACATTAGTCCACCACCCCACGCGGGCACCTTGCGCGCAAGATAGACGTGGCTGTCCAAGGGTCCCTTCGACACCCCCACCGCCGACACTTTCTTATTGCCTCTGTTCACGAAACCCGCCCCCTTTTTCGCGCTGATGTTTCAGACCAATCCTGAGGCCATATGAGTGGCCTCCTGAAACCATATGAAAGCAGAGCCATGCCCCCTCTCCCACTAACACCCACACGCTCCCGCAAGATTGGTTTTGCCCTGAGTGGCATTGTTGTCGAGCTTATGTTGTTCCCTTTTATAGAATCAGGCAATTTGGCCGACTGCTTTCGTTCTTGACATTGCGTATCCATTGCTGAGGTTTGTACATTGCTTATCCTTTACTATTTTTTGCTCAATACTACCATACTGCATTGATAGTTGTAATCATTGGGTTTGAAGTACGCGTGACCGCTGGATACAGAATCAGAGAAGTCAAGAAGACAAAACACCAGACAAATAGGTACCAAAGATTTTTTTATACGTCATCAGCTGGAAATAGTAGTTAAGTAAGGCCACAAAAAGGATAAGCTTAGAGAACATGATTCCTCATATATACTTGCACAGTCACCTGGGAAATCACAAGCATAAAAATTTATTGCTTTAGAGGCATGTATTTGTATAGTGGTCCTGGATGTCTGTGTAACTTTCAGCACGTCGTATCGAATCGATGCACAAACGACTCCTGTCCTAGGATAATTAATGAGAAAGTGCATCCTTTTCAACTGTTCAAATATGATATTTAGATGCTCGAAAAATTCACAACTAAGATGAGTTGACAACTGCCACAAAGGTTTAAACCTCATTATTTCCTAGAACGGAATTTTCTTTGCCTTCATAAAAATAACGAAGTTGCAAATATGAGAAATCACGTTGTTTTCGGGAAAGCAAGAGCAGATTCAGTTTTAAAATTTCTGTTGGGCAACATTACCTTATGTAGTCCCCCTCATTAATCCCTACTCTCCAGCAGGCTGTCCTACGAAAACGGTGGTTATAGGGTTTTATGGGAGGGAAATTAGGATATGCAGTGGAATATACTTTAATAACTGCTATATGCATTTGAATTTTATTGTATCTAGAAGCGTTGTTAATTTATATCCGTAGATTTTCCTAATGTGTGCTATCGTTTCACGTATTGCGGAAAAACCTGATTATCAAATTGCAGGTTTCTTGAAATTCCCGAAAAATTTAAATCGTGGTTAGGAGGTCGTCTACTTCAACTTACCTGAGGTCAAACTTACCTGTCTGGAGTTAGATTAGTATAGTCCACGGCGCAAAGCGCCGCGCACACCTTCAATTTACATGAGGAACAACTTACTCCCAGCGGCCACGGGAAATAACTTCGACTGCATTTTTTCATTTTACACTTAATTCTAAGACCTTTATTCTCAGCCTAGCCTATTTCTCCATCTCCCAAAATCCTATTACCACCGTTTTCGTAGGACAAAATGCTGAGACTAAGGCTATATGAGGGGGACTACATAAGCTACGTTTGCCTCTCTGTTGTGCTTTTAAACTAAGTAATAAACTTTTGCAGCTGCAGTTTGTTTTTCCACGTCAAAACCAAGAATCTTAAACAAGCGCGTATATGAACGCACACAGCAAGCTGCCTCTTTTCTTTGTCACACCGTACGCGAACGATGTCCAAACACTTTCTATCTGCACTTGACTAAGAAAACTCATGAAATCTCATCTCATTCCGAATGTAGCAGGCTGTGGTGTACGAACTGACTTCGACCGCATTTTCTACTAATGAGTTTTGCAATCATTTTCACTTTTAAGTGTGCCGATTAGTTGTAGTTGGTAGCTCAGAAATTGCAGCGCATAGCATAGGTAGAAGGCATCGCTTTATCATTCTTAGTAGGGCATTCATAGGCAAACTCAAGTCTTCAATTAAGAGCATAGGTGCAGGGGCATAAAGGCACTCCCCCAACACATCAAAATTAAGTCAAAGAAAGTACGCCAACTCTCGTTAACCATTATCAGCTAAGGTCAGATTTTTTAATACGTAGATAAGAGAATGTGGAAATTAAAGGAGATACAACCGTCCAGTCACCTTCATGGCACCCTCAAACGCATATCGTGTGAAGGAACTGTAGGAAAGCCACTGCAGGTATTTTGGAATTGCATCAAGAGTGACAAAGAAACCCGAGAAGAGCAGGATTGGGATTCCAGTCGCCGGGCCAAGAAACACGGCAACCTAAAGACAACAAGATAGCACAGCCTAGAGAAAGAGCTTAAAAATTGAACAATTTTATACAATTAACTTGTTTGAAGAAAAATATGTTCTTTGGGATATAAGGGTAAAATTAATCAGTGAATTTTCGAGACTGGTTCACCAGCTCTTTATCGGACTAACCAGAAATGTGCAGAGGAACAAATAAGTTCCATTTCACCCAGGAGCTCACAAGTAGAGCCCGCGCAGGCACTCACATAGTGACTATGAGGATAGGATGAAGTGGATCCGACAAAGCAAAGGGAAACCGGAATGGCCATTTCTGGCTTGTTAGCTGTCATCAGCCAGTCATACCCAATCCCAAGGGTTGGAACCCCCAAGATTCGATCCCGGGACCTTTGGCCATTGAGTTTAGCCCTCTACCATTGCAACGCGGGCTCGTTGCTTTGTCGGTTGAGATCGAGAATATGATGAATATATGTGTTTCGCCGATCCCTTAGAGGAAAAATTAAGTTCCGCTTTGCCCAGAAGCTCACAACTAGAGCCCGCTCAGGCAGTCACATAGTGACTATGATGATGAGATGGAATGGAAGCACATAAATTCATCACATTCCCGATCTCAACCGACAAAGTAACAAGCTCGTGGTGCCGTGGCAGAGCGTTAAACTTAATGACCAAAGGTCCCGGGTTCGAATCTCGGGGTTCCGACCCCTGAGACTGGCTGATGACGGCTAACAAGCCAGAAATGGGCATTCGGGTCTCCCTTTGCTTCGTCGGATCCATTCCATATATATTAATAGTTAAAAGGAGGCAATTCCCTTTGAGGGAGTTTAATAAAGTTTGATAAACGCACGCTTTTTATTAAAAAAAAACCAGAACTACCACTGAAACAGCATCCTTTCTACTCAGGCTTGACAACTGTCAGCTGGAAACGGACATTTCGTCGTGCAGACTATTATTACGTTATTGGATTACTCAGCTCTAAATGAAAATGTCATCTCGGTGTCTGTATAGGAAATAGCGGAGTAAAGCAATGGCACTCGCGACAGTAAAAGAGAGCTGGCTCTTTAGACTCAAGCCGCCAATAACCTTGCAAGTCGGCAGTTACAAACACAAAGAATGCCCGAGAAATTTCAGGAAGTTATCCACAAAAAACGTCTCTGTGGTTATATTTACAGGCAGTACCGTCTACAGAAGGCTTGGTGTTGCAAACAATTTTCTCAGTCTGAAAAGATGAACAAAAGAGAACGTCACTGATTACGTCTCTATAGGGTGCAAGCCCTGTTGTCCTTTGCACGACTGAGAATGCGCACACTTTTGGCTCTCAGATCTACGGACAGAGACAAATCTAACGTTTTGCACACCCCTGTAAAGTTGCGTGCGCGCTGAAAAGTGCACGGGCGAGGCCACTGGTAATCAGAACTATAAGAGAGTAAACAAGTGAGAGCCGAAGTCACTTTCTTATTAGGGGATGTTCCAAGGGCTCTGGGGTTTTGTTGTCTATTTCCAAAATAGTACTCTCTTGTGTTTCACGTGAGTTCGCTCCAGAGCCGGAGGTGTTCATACAAATTAATCGCCGGCTCACCAACCCGCTAGCTAAAACTACTCTTCGCATGTCAAGTGGCATTTAAAAAACACGACCGATCGTTGAAATAAGGAGTCCAACAGGTTCCCATGCCCCCCCCCCGCCCTTATTCCTTGAGTGCCTCCGACAGTGGAAGACGACCCGTTTTCCCTTTAAACTCACAATTACATAAAGGCAATAAGTCAGTCGCCAGTGAGATGTCCATCTCATTGATAGAAGAGCTATTTTTTGCGCTAGTATGCCACAATCCCCTCATTCAACTTTCTGCCTGAATGAGCTCACTCAAGACTCGACAGCCTAACAACTCTGATGCGAAAAAGAAGAA